CCTGCAACAAATCAAGTGAAAACCTGGCAAGCCAGTGGCAAAAGCTTAAGCAAGCAACAATATTACATAAAAGCAATAAGCCAATTACACTCAGTCCATATTATTCAACCCTTACAACAATCAGGTTACTTGGACTCCAGTCAACACCAACTCACTGTAGTGAGTGAGTGAGTATGGTTTTACGCCGCTTTTTAGCAATATTCCAGCAATAGCACGGTGGGGACACCAGAAATGGGCTTCACACATTGTACCCATGTGGGGAATCGAACCCGGGTCTTCGGCGTGACGAGCGAACGCTTTAACCACTAGGCTACCCCACCGCCCCCAACTCACTATAAAGCTCAAACAATGCTAATATCATGTTAAATCTTAAGTCACTTCCATGCCAGAATCAGAAGTCGATGATGCCAAACAAAACTGATGCAAATAAAGACCTCTACCAAACCCATATGTCTGAAGACACTGCTAGTACCCGTGAAGATAGGGTTGCAGTTGGTCTTCAGTAACCCATGTTCATCTTACGAGGCAACTAACGTGTGGTGGTCAGACTCGCTGACTTGGTTGACACATGTCATCGTATTGCATAGATTGATGCTCATGATGTTGATCACTGGACTGTGTGGTCCAGACTTGATTATTTACAGAACGCCATCACATAGCTAAAATATTGGTAAGTGTGGAATTCAACAACAAACAAATGTTGTAGATTTCAGATACCTTGTTCTTTTACCTTCTAATGTTTAACACCTTGAAGGTTATTTGTGTTAGTTTGGAATATTGAAAGTCCAGATAAAGAGAACTAACAGAATGTCTCTCTGGAGGTTCCTTGACCAACAGCAGGTATTGATGGGACACTCACAAACATCTCAGCCATTTACCTTCCACCATGTTGCTACCAAGGGCCTTTGCCAGACACTGAACACATGTCGAAACAGAATTCCAGATTATACGTTCCATTCTTAATGGGGACAAAAATCTCTCTGGTGAAGATGCCTGGCTAAATCAATTGCTGGTTACATGTCACGACAGATGCAGCTCAATCAGACTGATACATTTATTAATCAGGAACCTAGAAGAAAATGCATGGAAAAAGCAGCTTGATTCAGAACATAGGAAATTGTTACCATGTATCACTGCCCTCGGACATGTTCTCTGACATTACAATTAGCAAATATATGGCAGGAAACCTAAAGAACGGCCAAGAATGAATGTTATTATCCAACCTGCACATCATCTGAAACTCAGTTTGCTGAACCATCGCAGCATGGAGGAAGGTTCATTGATCATCTTAATATTGAGTGAGAATGGGAGTTTTAGGATTATTTTAGCAATATTTCTTATAGAGGGTATTATATATGGGCCTCAAACATTTTTCCTATGTATGTCATCAAAGCTGAGCCTTTAGTTGATAACGGAAAGCTCACAGACATCTCTCTTCAGTCAGTTGTGTCTGAGAAATGTATTCTTCTGCATGATGTGATATACTCCAGACAGTGATGGTTTAGTTCAGACAGTGATGGTATAGTTCAGACAGTGATGGTATAGTTCAGACAGTGATGGTATAGTTCAGACAGTGATGGTATAGTTCAGACAGTGATGGTATAGTTCAGACAGTGATGGTATAGTTCAGACAGTGATGGTATAGTTCATGATATACAGACAGTGATGGTATAGTCCAGACAGTGATGGTATAGTTCAGACAGTGATGGTATAGTTCAGACAGTGATGGTATAGTCCAGACAGTGATGGTATAGTTCAGACAGTGATGGTATAGTCCAGACAGTGATGATATAGTCCAGACAGTGATGATATAGTACACTCCAGACAATATACTTGAGTCAGTGTTGGTATACCATAGCCTTATAAAACATACTCTATACTAAACATACATAACATTAACAAAACAAATCATTGATGTAACCTTGTTAATATATGCATTAATCAAGTTATCAGATGGATACCAGCTGTTTCCACATGCCTAGTCGATACTGTAATCATAGTCAACATCCAATCATTCCGTATCCCACAGTTGACAACAGACTTGTTGCAAACAATACAGTATAGATTTATCACATTAGATCAAACAATAACTAATACTGTTAATATACATTTTCTATCTACTAATCCACCTGCTTTGTAGTTCTTGTGTAGGTTTAGTAAAACATTCTCTGTAACTCTTCAAGTAAAATGGGTCATGACTTTCCATGCCAGAGTTACATCCACTGGGCACACCAGGAACCTATGATCGTGGGCTAAAATCCACTCTGTTTCTAGGCTAGTCAGTGCCATTACCCCTAGTGTTTTACTTCAGGCTTTCTTCCTGCTTTGACTTGACGACAACCACCAAACGATGACAATGACGTCACACGCTCAAATATTTTTGCTTGCAAGAATTAAAATTGTCCACATTTACATGGTAACATCATTCGTTTTAGAGTGTTTAATTAATTTTCTGTGATCTTATCTACTTTGCATTATCACCATTGTCTTGATGACGAGAAGATGTGGCGGAACCTTTTTGTGGATGGGGATGAGTAGTGATTAGGAAGCCAAGTGACGTCACTCATTCATAAAAGTTGTGTTGTGTATTATTGTGCAACTACGATGAGAAATATGAAATTTGAATCTATTCACCATAAAATGGTGCGATTTTATGGTGTGTAGGAAACAGATTGATGTACTCGTGTCTGTCAGATATCATTTATCTTACAACTCGTTGTTTCAAAACGTATTTAACTTTCGCTCGTTAAATACGTTTTGAAACAACTCGTTGTAAGATAAATGATATCTGACAGACACTCGTTTAGTAATCTCTATGGTCTTCACAGATTACATCAATGTAACGAGCGAACGCTATAATCACTAGGCCACCCCACCACCCTTAGTGAACAGGGAACATTCTTCTTTATAATCCCCTGCAAGCTTTCAGAATAATAACTGATATTTCTGGAATATATTTTCCAGCATAAATTCAGACTAATATGTTAAAACTTTGCAAAACAGATATTGCTCTAGAAATCACTTAAGTGCAAATTCCAACCAAAATATTTGATCTCATATTTGATAAAGATAATGTTGAATCCACATTTAAAATTCTTTGATTATTTGCTGATAATGTTTGATACCTTTAGTCTCAACATCAAAGACATCAAAATTATTTAAAAGCATACATGTTTTGACAATCTCTGACAAGACAGTTCCTTTTTCACAAAAACAGACTTCACATAGTTAGAGAGCATCTACAGCTGTCGTCTCATAAACTTCAAACTCCCTTGTAATTGAAGCTATCTTGTAAACAGATATTATTTATAATACTAAAATAACTTTCATTTTCAAGATCCTCCCAAACAATTTATCTGTGCACTCTGGTGTGGCAGCCATGCAATGCCAGTAAATCTTGTCTGATAGAAAGAAAGGACCAAAACCACTGAAAGTTGGTGATTAAAATGCCTATGAACCCAGTTGTGTATCTTGACACGGAAGGCTGCTGAAGTGTGAACCACAGATTCATTTCCATCCATCCAGTTTAAAATCACAATTTTTTATCAGTTTCGTTATCCACAAAATCATCTTCTGTGAATGAGCAGACTAACTCTCATATATAACCACAAGGACCTTCACCGGGAAAGGGATGGCAATGTTTACATCCTTCATTATGATGAGAGTATCTCCTGCAGATTCTGACTCAACAGATGTTGTTTTTGCTTTAACCTGTCTGATTGGCCTCATGTTTCAATTTTACATTTCCCAAGTGGTATGGAAGAAATAGGCAGTAGAATAATTACTCATGAAAAACCGCCAGTACTTTTACCATAATAACTAAAAATCTCTGTCTCAATATGTTTTTGAAAGATTCCTGATTTAGATAATCTTTTATTGTCAGATTAAATGTTAATGTAAATTATGCATGCATCATAAATTCTTTAGTTATATTTTTTAGAAACTTTTAGTTCGCTTCTACAGAAATCAGAATTGCAGCAAACTGCTGGTACTTTCAAGCCTTTCTGCTGCTCACACTATCAACCATTGGTTGGACTAGTTGAACGTCAGCCTGCTATTACGACTTAGCTGTTATTGTACCCACTATAGAGTAGCCCTCCATTTAGTGTTACCTCTAGGCAAAGATGTGAGATTAAAGTGTACAAAGGTTGGTCTTTAGAAGGCAATACTGGCATTTTCTATCTTGCCTGCCCACAGACCTTGAAAAGGTTGTACCTAAAGAAAATGAATAAGACATTGCTACCACAGCTCTCACAAAGTAGAGACAGCTTCTGCCTTTTTGAAACACTGTCCCCACAGATCTAATCAGAAATGTCTGTCCATGTAATTTGTCCCAAAAGGCACCCATTTGAAACACTGTCCCTTCAGATCCAAGATTGTTATCAGCGTATATTCTATTAAGCCTGAAACACCTTCTATCAACAATTTCCTATAAAGATTGCTCCCGTATCCTTAACACGGACAAACTGTAATTATCAGCCTTACTTACTTCTGCAACATGGCCATTATCTGCATGCTACATTGATACAAGCCACCATATTTTCATGGTCTCCAGAGTGAATCACCAGCATGAGAAAAAAATCCATTTTACCTTCATAAATATATACTTCCCTGACTATTTCATAAGTAACTCATTTTGATGACAAGGTTGATGTATGCATTACATGTACATATAACAATGCTAAGTCAAAACAATACACTTTGTTACATCAGAAGGGAATTCATCAAGTTCATATAAAACAAACATGACTAGTGCTGCAGGAAGAAATATGAGCCTTCTGTATTCCTGTGTTATCCATATTCACTGACAAATCTTAATGTATTGTCAGATACAGGATTAGATTTTGCACCAGGTTTATTGCCACTATGGACATGCCTTCCAACAGTCGGGACAGTGAAGAAGGAAGCACATTTTACACCACAGCCTATGTGTGCCTGGTCCAATGGGAACAAGCAGTGTTATGAGTGGTTATCACTCAGTAGCACCTTCAGCTGCTAGACTCAACTACACATGTGTTCAGTGGAACTACACTGCAGCACTTGCTTGCAGACGTGTAGTACTGGGAGCAGACGTGCAGTAGTACACTGCAGTGGAGGCAGACGTGAAGTACTACAAATGACCAGTGCGACTGTGGTGGCAGACGTGTGGACTGTTTGAAAAGGGAATACTCTGTGACAGGTCATTTTGGTTGGCATGTGAAGATTTGCCAGAGCAAATTGATTTCTAGTGAAATTAATGATACTGTGTCATCATCACAAAGTTTCAAAAGGACTTGACAAATGCACTGTACATAGTAACCAACAAACGAACGTGGACCATATCTGATGGAACGGTTATAATTACGTTTTCAATGAATACCTATTGTCTCAAAAGTTTCAAACTTTCTGAGTGTGTTTTCCACTGTCAGTTCATGTTTGCCGTCTCCTCTGTGTAAGACATCAGATTCATTGAGCCTGGTCAGCTGAGGGGTGTTGTGGATTATGTATGATCTACGCCTTGATAGCCCAGGTAAGCACAAGCTGTTATATGCTATATTAATGACCAATAACGTGTGTACATAACACTGTATAGTGGATCAATACCCTGACTGCTCAATCCAGCTACACTTGTCAACAGAGGCATATGGGCGTCACAATGATTTATTCAATTTGACTGTGGCTGTGATACGAAACCAATATTTCTCACGTCCTGACAACATGTCTTCCTTCATGCTATCTTGTCTATATTTCTGAAAGTCTTCAAATATCTAAAATATATAGACTCAGGTATATACCTTCCAAACCCAACCTATCTGATGTGTTTGTAAAACTATGTACAAAGTGAGTGAGTGAGTGAGCGAGTGAGAGATCAAGTGAGAGAGTGAGAGAGTGACATTATGTGATCTATTTTAACGTCTTTTGGTATGACACAGCCGGGGATCAAACCAGCGACCTTCCGCTCTCAGGGCTGACGCTCTAACCACTACACCACAGAGGCGGTCGGGTGAGAGTGCGTGAGAGGAGTGACAGTGAGTGCGTGAGAGTGAGTGAGTGGAGTGAGTGAGTGAGTGAGTGGGTGAGTGAGTGCGTGCGTGAGTGAGTGAGTGAGTGACATTATGTGACTAGATACTAACTGCCTAGAAACTGCTCATATTACTTTGTAATATGACTACAATGGTATCATGTCTCACATAACATCTTGATCTTGTGGTCATGTTTTTATCATTATTATTGCTGAGCTCATCAAAACTTAGTGTTTACTTTGTGACTTTTGAGTTGTAAAAACTATAAATGTAAAAGAGCACACATCACGTCATAACGTGTAAGGCCACACAGTAACACGACACTGTAGCTCATGGCTTGACACATTTAGACCACTTTGTCTGCGCTGCCAGATCACTTACCTGTGAGGTGTCAGGTAACACATGGATAATTTTTATGCAAGTTGTGCGAGGGGTAGGAGCTAACGCCAGCAGAGCAACACTTGTTTACCATTTTGCAAACACCATATCATAACTTAATTTTAATGTTCCATTCATATTATTTTCTGTATTTTCACCAGAAATGGGCTTCACACATTGTTCCCATGTGGGGAATCAAACCCGGGCCTTCGGTATGATGAGCGAATGCTTCAACCACTAGGCTACTCCACCACCCAATTTTCTTATGGAATACTATTAAATGATATGATCTACTCAAATGGCTAAATTAGGGCTTTCAACATAACTTGATCTTTGGTCCAGGTGAGCTTTAACAATGATTTTGAGATTTGTTCCAGTTGAGCTTACCAGTGATTGGAGATGTGATTTAACATATGGTCATGAACTGACTACAAAACAGACATAATGACCCTGACATTTACACAAATACCTAAGTGCATATTTCACACTATGCATATGAACCTATCCCAGCAGGATGATTCTAATGTCGAGAACTGAACCTCAGAGTAAATAACAGGAAGCCATAGTGATACATCACATTTGAATATATTGTAGGTCCTAACCAAGAGTTCAAGCAGTTCAGTTGCTCAGTCCAACAAGTCCATGTTACTCTTCGCATTCTTTTTGAAAAGTGAGGAGAAAAGAATTACATTTGATTTGCTCTTTCTTCCACTGATCACAAAAACAGTTCCTCTTCACCCTCATGACCATGGCGGCACAATGACTTGTAGACACTGAGAGCAAAACAAATTAGGATAAGATTGGTCAAGGAAATTATACATCAGTTGATTGTTTATCTCATTGTAGGACCAACTTGGAACTCCCAAATGTACACTACCCACTCTGGTGCCTGAACCACTGACTGAGTTTGGTTTTTACGCCGCTTTTAGCAATATTCCAGCAACATCACGGCGGGGGACACCAGAAATGGGTTTCACACATTGTACCCATGTGGGCATTCAAACCCGGGTCTTCGGCGTGACGAGCCAACGCTTTAACCACTAGGCTACCCCACTGCCCCTTGGTGCCCGAACCATGTCTTCCTACTGAGTTGTCCCATCTAAAAGCACATAATCCAGGTTTGAAAAGCCAAGTAACATAACAGGTAACTCTTATGACACAGCAATTAATCTAACAACTTCTTCCTTGCTACAAATGTCAACTAGCATACTTCTTCTAAAACACAGCTGCCATAAATGCTGTGTTTTGGCTGTTTTAACACGAAACTAATCTTCAGAATTTTCATTAGAAGACCTCTTCACTGTTAACTAAACACAAATAGTTTTCATTACAATAGTATGCCAATCAGCATCTAGCTCTTCAGCTTTTCAAGATAGGAAAATATCAGGTGTGCTTGAGTCAACATCAGCTTTCGACAGAGATGTAATCTCTAACTAACAAACATTGCATTTTCAAATTATTTTCACAGCTGCTTCTTTGGTGCAGTAATTTATCCAAAACTGTTCAATATATATATAAGTAACATATCAAGTTGCTGAGACAGCACATAGCTGCACCTCTGTACAACAACACTTGGCAGCGCTGCATGTTCCCACTCAACATACCAGACACAATGAGTCCCATACTACAGCTCTCTCTTCTGGAGGCTGTCAGTCTGCCTCTCCAAATGTCAGAATCCACATACTACCATGCCGTATCTATCCAGCACCCTGCTTCACATGTGCAACCAATAATGGAGTGATTACTACTATACATGCTACTGGGCAGGTCCAAAAATTTTTTCACTTTACTGCACTGTCTTTTCCTTCCAAAATAGTTGAGAAATATCATTGTTTTTAATGACTCACTCTTTCAGAAGAGAGTAAACTGTCTAAGCTAAAAACATATTTCGCTGATTAAAAATAAAGCCCTGAATAAAAAGTTCAATTTTTTTATGGTGTACTGCTTTTTTAATAAAATAGCTGGCATTTAAACCTGTTTCAAGTAATATCTCCACTGACACTCTTCTGAGTTACTTCAATGTCATGAACCACAAATGAACACCCCTTTATGTCCATTGACCATTTAAGTAACAAATAAACACTCCGAGGAGTACAATTGCAAAGGGCATTTATGTAGGAAAAGGAACCTGATTGGGAACACTTGATGCAGTATAAGTATGCTGACCATTTAAGTTTCAAAGAGACCCATAAAGGAGAATAAATGTCCTGGCCATTAAAGGGTCCCTTAAAGAGGTATATGTGCCCTAGTCATTAAGTATCACAGAGGCCCTGTAAGCAGTATAAATAGCCTGCCCATTTAACAGTAAAATCACTTGCACCCTTGTAGGAAAATATGTGCCCAAGGACCATTTAAGTATCAAAGGGATACGGCACTCAGCTCAGTGTAGCATAAACCCCTTCTCATTGAAACTCTGAGTGAGTAAATCTGGGTAATCCAGTGGTTGACAGAAAGAGCAAAAATAGTCAGGTCCAGATTGCCATACCATGCAATCTTCCAGGTTGCATATTGTGGAGTGAGTGAGTGAATATGGGTTTACGCCGCTTTTAGCGATATTCCAGCAATATTGTGAGGAGGGACATCAGTAATGGGTTTCACACATTGTACCCATGTGCGGAATCAAACCCAGGGTTTTGGCATGACGAGCAGATGCTTTAACCACTGGGCTACCCCACCACCCCTTGCATATTGTGGTCTTCTGATCGTCATCAGTTGGTTGTCATGACAACAATGGAGTACTGTGGAACTATTCGGTCTGGATCCCTAGAGGAGAATGAAGATCCACTGTCTTACATCAGAGTCTAGTCTCAAGTTAATGGCGACTCTTTTCCCTTAACCATTCATTATAATGCAATACACAATTACACAAATGACAATGAAGGGACACAAACTTCCAGAAATCACGACAAACCAACTCGAACTAATCACAATTATGGCCGTCATGATGGATGACAATACCACTGACCTATACTATAATCATTAGCGAGCACGATAGACTGATGGGTGGAGTCTTCAGTCGAACAAACCATACTGTAGATCCCTTCCCAATCTAAGCCGACAAAACATAAGATCTGCTGTATCAACTCAAAGTCTTCTAAAAGCAGTAAAGGGCAATGCTACCAGTAAAAGAGATTTATCCATAGCACAGGCTCTTTAGTTTTGACTTAGAAGCGTCTGGTTTGGGCTGACACCACAGTGTATGTTCTGATGTGAACCTTGCAGTCGTCACTGACGCCGCTCTATTAGTGTCATGGTGGTGATTTGCCACAACTCGAGTATGAGCTATGGCTTCTGCCACGTCCCACGGTGACCTTGCTCTCAGATGTATATGTATTCGTGAGTAAGACTGTGAATATAGTTTTACACAAGTCAGCAGTATTTCAGATTCATCAGTGTAACCAATAAATATTTGAGTCAGATTATCCAGGCTGCTACCAGAATCGGACCTTGCATGCAATCACCAAGGTCACACACTATCATAATCTGATCCCCATTAAGTCCAGTTTTGCCTGAAAATTCCTTTCAAACTAGCATTTTCCAATTCTTCTTTAATTACCAAGGATGATGATTCATAGTCATAGAATAAAATTATATGTGCTGAACACAATGGAATTAACCATCTGGCTTCCACAGGAGATATGACCTGGGTGATATCAATCTATATCTTCAATGATATATTGTTACAATGAGATTGTATAAGAAAGCTTTGCAGGCCATTATGACTTATCGGTTACCATGACATTACCCATCTCTCTGAAACTGCAGCTGGCTACCAGTATTTGAAACACTGGTTATTATTGTTTACAAACTGAAAAGGTTGAAAGTAAGTTAGTGAGTTAATATTTATAGTCACATTGGCAGTATTTCAGCCATATTGTGACTAAAGTAAGTTAAACACTCAATCCCTTTAGTTGCTCTTATGACAAATATGGGTTGCTGAAGACCAATTCTAACCCAGATTTTCACAAGTGATATATGCTCCTTTGAACAACAAGACTATATATCTTCCTTTGAATAAGGGCGGTGGGGTAGCCTAGTGGTTAAAGCTGGCTCGTCATGCCGAAGGCCTGGGTTCGATTGCCCACATGGGTACAATTTGTGAAGCCCATTTCTGGTGTCCCCCGGCGTG